ATTTGTCCCTCTTTTAAATTGGAGCGAGCGTGGAGCGATTTGACTGGAGCGGGTGGACATTTTAGTGGACTGAGGAACGGTGTTGAGCGGAGCGGCGTAGTGCGAATTAGAGCGGAGGAGCGGGCGGAGCCAACAGCCTTGTGAGCGAGGAGCGGAAAGTCTCACCGCTCCGCTCCGCTCACATGCTCTGTACCATACAGACCTTTGAGAGCGAAAGCGTGTAAAGTGCGTGGTGCTTATTTGATGTGTACACTGTTACTTATTTTGTGCCCTTGTTCTTGCGCCTGCCTGTTTCTGTTTTTGTTTTACCTAATAAATTAATAAAGTATTTGGATTACTGTCCTTGGTTTTGGGTGTCTGCTGGATGCTGGGTTCGACTGGGGATGTATTTCAGAACTATCTGCTTTGGGCCAATTACTGCAGTTACAGTTAATTATGGAGTTGTCAAAGGACAATGACATGACTATCTATCTTTATATAACTATGTTAATAATGTTAATCTAAGTCTAATATGTAATCTAAGTGTGCACGCATGATCTAACTTTGCAGTGTTTGTTCCTAACTAAATAACAAAAACCTTTATAGTACACCTACTATGAGTACCTTACTATACCTCTATCTAAATCACACTCAGTCTTGCTCCTAACCTATATAACTAATATCATTGTATTTGAAATGTTAATTGCCAAACTACTCGCTCAAACCAACAACACCACAAACATCCAAAACACACCCAAATTTTCCAGTTCTTTTTTCCTGCCTCTGGAAAGATGACACAGCGTTCATGTGACTGATGTTTCAAAACATTTTGCGAAACCCACTTCAGTACCAGAAGTCTCAATGCTCTTCGGAATGGATTCTCTTCGAAACGGAACTTCCATCTCTAGATTGCAGTGTGTGTGATATGCCTTTGCAGCTTAACTGATTGGCACTGTATGTATGTTTGTCACTGCACTATGTGCTGATTACTGTATGCACCAAAATTTCCCCCTTGGATCAATACAGTGCATCTTACTCATAACAACTTTGGGTACCAGTCACATACAGTATCTTTCACTCTAATTTTTAGTCTGTCTTTCTAGATAGTGGATGACAGCCTGGGGTTAGTGTTTTGACTAATTAAATGAGTCTCTCGAGACAATCTTAATAAGCAAGCCTTCCAGCACAGCATTTACAGTGTTGTTTATGGTGTCTTAGCTCGAGCTGGGTTGAGCTGTCCTCAAAATACACAGTCGCTGTGCCACTGGCATTTCTGCTTTACATATTTGACATATTGATAAGGGGTCCCAGGTACTTGTATTCTGATTATTTAGCTGAAAGATGGGGGTCAGAGGCAGTGCAGTTTGGATTACAAGCACAAACTGAAAGATCCCCAGACTGATCAGACATTGGAAACAGACACTGGCTTTGGAAACAATATATGTGACCTCTCTGGCAGGCGATAGTTTGAGATAGTTTTCAGCTACAAATAATGAACCTTCCTCCATTGCATGTATGGTTTTCCGAATGGAAATGCTTCAGTCCATTGAGGGAGCTGCATCTATTAGGTAGAGACAGAAATGACAGATAAGGGAGATATATAAGCTGTCTTGCTTTTCCAAGTTTACCTGCCCCAGTCACAGCATTCTGTTCATTAGATGAATCCAGTCTGCACAGCTACAGAGTCTATCTTTAAACTTCTACAGCGAGAAACAAAACATGGTAAAACAAGGAGCCAACTGTTAATGACATTCTGGATATAGTTATGTTACTCACACGATGGCCCGGGGTGGCCTTACACCTCCCAGTATGAGTGATGGGGTAGGGGTGTGGGGGGTGTGGGGGGTGTGGGGGGGTGTGAGTGTCAGGTACAAACGTATAAAGAGGCTCAAAATGAAATTGAGGGAGGACAAAGAGAGCCACGCATCTTCAAAGGTGAGTCTTTTATGATTATCTGAACCTGACACACATGTACAATGTATTACATATGTATTAATATACAGTATATACATACACACATGTCATATTTAAATATGCCTTTTCATACAGTCGCATAGTGCCGGAGTATAACAGGTGGCTTATACAATTTTCTGTTTAAAAATGAATTAAAGAATGATGTAGAAAAACTGAGTACTAATTAACAAACATGGTATCAGGGATCGTCATAAAGTAACTGTAACCTCTGGTTTGCTCTGCAGGAAGGTGTTGTGGGACTGAAGAACTGAGACATGATGACTCCAAGCTTGCTGGGGATTGCACTCCTCTGCCTGTCTGCCATGCCTGCTGCAATGGATGATGGTCAGTTTCCTGAGAGCCATTCTAATGGTCACTTAAACAGGCCATTGGGTGTCAGACATGTGACAAGCCTGGGGCATTAAGCACTGAATCCAAACAGCCCCAAATGATTTGTTTAGTTCAGTTTGGGAATTCCATACATCACAACAGTCCTAGTTAAAGGCTGTTTGCCAAAACCTTTGTAACGCTACGATCATCGTAACTTCAGAGAAAGAGAATTCAATATCATGACACTCAGACAAATTAGGAGTCTTCAGATCATAGCAAAGCAGGGGATGTTCTGGGGGGGGTTCTGGGGGGGGCAGTGCCCCCATGACACCGCGCATGGCCCCCTCGTGGCCACCCTAAATATGTATGCCACTTGTGTCTGAGTTACTGAGTAATGAATTACTGTACTCTTATTATTTACTATTATTATTTGGATATATTGGTATGTAAATTTTGTCTGCTGGGAACAGGCGAAATGGAAACGTAAGCACATTTTCGCGACGGACTCAATGCAGTGGGCCAGGCAGTTGAGTCAGTTCAGTTGGTGAAAAGCAAAGTAAATGACAGAAAAAAATAATCAAGCTTGTGGAAGCAAAAGACTAAGTCTAACAAGAAATCAGAGAGTTACATATTTGTAACAACTGTAAAATATAACTGCAAAGCATTGCATAAATATCGTATAGGTTTTTAAAATCGTCTTTTGATTTTTAATGCTGGCAATCTACTGTAAGTAATACTTGGTGGACATTGAGGTCAAATGC